TAGCTAGTGACTGCCCATCCCTATGTTATGTGAATGAAATGAGAAATTTGGGCCATTTAGTAAAATGAAAATACTCTAAGGACATGAACAGAGTGAGTAGGAAGAGATTAATAGGCAAGCTAGAGCCACAGTGTGGCTGGGGCCTGTGCAAGAGTTGTTGGTGTCAGTGGCCTATGTATTAGAACTAGTCTGGTTTTCTCTGCCCCTTCCCTATTCTTTATCCATCCTCCTTGAGAATGCCCTCCACCAGGAGACATGCCTGTCATCTATGTCTGTTTCTTAGAATTGTTTCTCCTATCTTGGCAGAAAGTCTGAAGGGAGGAGGGTCTTCTTTATTTAACCAGTCACCTTCCACCAATTTCTGGGCCTTATCCAAACCAACCAACTTAAATGTTGCCATGAAGATGTTCCACTGTTGGGTCTGGCTTCCCTGAGTGTGGGTTGTGGCATCTAATGGCATCTGTGCTAGAGGCACCTAAAACCTTGTCCCCCACCCTAGGGTGATCTGTAAGTGAATACATATTTATTCTTCCTCTTTAACCTTACTCACTCATCTGTCTTAAAAGGAAAAAATAGGTTCTCTGTGAGCACCCTTACAGTATTGGTTGGCATTTCTGGTTATTCAGGGGTGAGTCATGGAACCCCTGGCTAGGGTCTAGGAGGGGATTTTACCCAGAACCCAGGGAGTTGTTGGGATAGTTTCTGTTGCTCTCCATGAAATTGCTTCATCTTTATTCCAAAAGAAGGCCTTTATTTCCCTGCCTACTCCATGGGTAGAAGATGTCCATTAGAGACCTGGAGTGTATATATTAATAGAGCAGCCACATGTAGAAACCATCTTCCTTAAGTCCCCCTTCAAAGTTTCCAGAAGACTCCTAATGGTCTAGCTTGGGCCAAATAATTGTCCCCCGTGCAAAGAGCTGTGAATGGATGAAGGGGACTGCATTTTTAGACCTGTCTGGGGGCTCCCTGGCCTGTATGTAGGAGGGGAAAGGTTCAGTTACCAGACAAGGGAGTCTGAGGTTCATTAGCTGGGTAGGCAACCTCAAAAGGCACCTGCTACATTAGCCCTTTATCTGTGTTTACAGACTGCCTACTGTGTGCCTGGTATTTTATTCAGGATGATGGTGCTAGAACCATGAGCAAGGCAATATTCCTGCCCTCGTGCCCTTGGTCAGCAGCTGTCTTGTCTGCATTTCTATTTTGTAACAGGCAAGCTTAGTGCTTGTCCATTTGCCTACTCTTGTTTCTCTTTATCCTTTTTTCTTTGGTTTCTTTCTCAACAGATATTTATTGAACTCCCACTGTCTGCTGACACTGTGCTTGTTTATATGGGGGAGTTGTAAGCATCTCCTCTAATTTTGCATGGTGGTATTTTCAAAATGCATTAGCTCAGAATTCATCTCATGAGTCTGAATTTGAAACCTTAGTCATAACGTGCTTCACTATATATGGTATAGTGTTTTCTTTAGGCGATACATTTTCAACAGATGTGTGATATTTTGAAAAGATTAATGTTTTTCTCCAAAGGAGGATTGGGTCAAGATGAGGCCACTGAGGTAGAAGACAGTTATCAGAGTCTTAGGGAGGGGGGAACTATAACAATTGCTACCTAGAATAAAACTCTAGGGCTGGCCCTGTTGTAGTGTAGAAAGGTGAGCTGGCCTCATGCATGGTAGGTGCTTGGGAGATATTATTTCATGTAATTCTATCACTAATTGTGTAATTATCTTGCACCCCAATATTTGTTATCCAACACTTAAATTCTTGTTTGGGAAAACTGTTTCCATTCTCATTTCTATCAGAAATGCTTTTTTTTTTTTTTTGTCCCAATCCTCTCTTATTCAAATCCCAATTACCCAATGTTCTTTTTTTTTTTTTTTCTGGCCCACACATTTAATCCAAAAAAAGTCTTGCAGGGTTTTCTTTTGAGATGGTTCTCCTATTTTTTTTTCTTTTTACCCATTCTCCATTTAATTTTTGCTTTTTAATGTCTTGCTTCTAGATGTAGAATTAATTTCCTACCTGGATCTCCTTATCTGCAAATTCTCCCCTCTTTCTGCTCCTACTTGTATATCCCTGCCAGGTGCACTTGTTCCCTGCTTGGAGACTGTCTGGGGCTTCATATGACCTTCAGGATGGAGTTGAAGCTTCTTTGCCTGGCATTGAGGTCCTTCCCAATCTTTCCCCCCTCCTATCCCTCAATGGCCCTCCCCTCTCCTCCCTGCCAACCTGAGCTTTCCTTCTATTTCCCACTCTGGACCTTCAGTGCTGATTTTAAGTTTGTTTATTTTAATTGGCTTCTTATACATCCTGTCTACTTGGGCTTTGGCTGAAGCTCTTTCTTGTTCTGACCCCAACTGTCTTTGTCCTCCTCTTTCCTAATAGAAACCTTACCCATACATTAAGGCTTTTATATCCGTCCTCAAACTCTGTTCTGATCAGCTCCCCTCAAGCACAAACAGGCTGCTGACTCCTGACCCTCCTTAGTGCCTTCAAGCCTGATCTTAGTCACTTGTCATAAACCGTGACTTACTGGTAACCATGGTTATGCTTTAGCACCTTAAAGTTTTTGAGAGCAGGAGCCAGGTCTTTTATTTTATTTTTTTTTGCGTTCCCAGCAGCATTAACAAGTGATTCTCAACTGTGGCTGCCCACTTATAAGCCTTAAGTAACATTATTATTATTATTATTATTATTACTATTTTTAAGTAGGCTCCATGCTTTTAAGTAGGCTCCAGTGTGGGGCTTGAACTCACAATCCTGAGATCAAGACCTGCGTTGAGACTAAGAGTCAGCATTAAACCAAGGGAGCTAAACTGAGGGAGCGACCCAGGCCCCCACCTCTTAAGTTACTTTATTTTATTTTATTATTTTTTAAAAGATTTTATGTATTTATTCATGAGAGACACACACAGAGAGAGGCAGAGACATAGGTAGAGAGAGAAGCAGGCTCCATGCAGGGAGCCCCATGTGGGACTCCAAGATCACACCCTGGGCCCAAGGGAGGTGCTCAACCACTGAGCCACCCAGGCATCCCTTAAGTTACTTTAAAACAGAGTAAAACAAATCGGAATCTGTGGGGGTTGGGCCCAGGATCTAATTCATTATGGGAGCTCTCTTGGTGGTGATAATGTGCAGCCAGGATCGAGAGCCACTGAGTGAACACAGTCTAAGCAATGAACTATTCTGACCCATACGAGTATATGGCATTTGAGCCCTCTGTGCATATCACTGCATCTCTGCCTGGAGAATTCAAAGTGACCCTTGATAAGACTTGGGTGCAAATGGTTTATTCAACTAGCAAACATAAATGCCCATTATGTGTCAGGCACTGTTGTAGGTGCCGATATGACTGTAGCGAACAAAACACGTCCTGTTGTCCTGGAGCCATGGGAAGACAGATAGTAAATAAATAATGTCAAGTAATGATGATAAATGCTGGAGATAAACAAAGAGGGATAAGTGGGCAGGGAGAAGAGCAATATTTTTATATAGGGAATATTTTGAAACTAGCCTATCTGCCTTAAATCAGAAAATGCTTTAAAACAAAAACAAAAACAAAAACCTAACCTTTTCTGACTGAAGTGAGCTCTCAGGCCAGCCAGTCTTGAAGTGAGGACTTCTGCTCCCTGCTGCCCCTTGTCACTAAGCAGAGGGCAGAGTAGTGCCCTGTGAAGTCAGAGGAGCCTGGGAGAGTGGAGGCTGGAGGCAGGGAGTGAGGATCTGAGGTTGGAGTCCCAAAATGGGGAACAGCCAGGGTGCTGTGACCAGGGACCTAGCTATGAATACTCTTCAGGATACTATGTCAGCTCTCAACCGATTTCATGTTTTGGTTGTCCCTCTCTTGTGATAAAGATTATAATAGGATTATAATCTCTTTAAAACGATGACATACTTAACTAGCCAAGACATTCTATTATTCCAAGATTTTTCTCTCTCAGTGAATATTCCTTGTAGCTGTGAAGTAGATGTTTGTTGAAATGAGATGTCCAATATTAGAGTGAAAATACACGCAAGGAAAAGGAGAGAAGGCTGCCTCTGCAGGGGATTTATTTTTCTGTGATCCTGTACTTCAGACACCCCTCCCTGAAGGTCCCTTCTAGAGGTGGGTTGCCTTGTGAGGAGGGACAGACGTTGTAGCTGAAGCATGTGTGTCCTCAGGTGTGGTAGTGTGAGTAATGGGGGTGTCATTATTCTCCATGCAGACACCTCCCTACCTGAAGGTTGTGGGGACGTTGAGCTCACCGAAAGCCTTGACTATAGAACTGAAATCAACTCTTAAGGAGACAGACTTGCTTGTATCCTAACCACAGACGCCTCACCGGAGCCATAAGTGAAAGATCCCGCATCCCCCCTGAGCTGGGATTGGTAGCGCTACCGCTCGCTCGCAGGTGGCCCGCGCCCCTGGGGGAGAGGAGCTGGGGCGCTCGGGCCCGCGGTGCAGCCGAGCCCATCACCCTGAGGGGCGGGCATCTCTCCTTTGTGGGCACGGCGATGTGCTTTCTCCATCCTTTTATGCGGCGACTGAAATGCAGGGCGCATCCCCTCTGCTGGTATCTTCGTCCTAAGCGCAGTCGAAGCCGCCCGAGAACCGGGCTCCGGAGCGCAGTCCCTGGACCCAAAGGGGGAGCCCGCCCGGGCAGGTGGGGCGTGGGGGGAGGCCGCAGCCCGCGGCCCCGCCGTCGCCCCCAACCCCCAGCCGGGCCTCGCGCCGCAGCCGGGCGGGGGGGGGGGGGTGCGGGGCGGAGTCGGCCGCGGGAGAGCTCCGCGCTCGGCGCCCCGGGGGCCCGGGCGGGGGCGGGGGCGGGGCGAGCCGGGAGCAGCTGCGGCGGCGGGTCTCCAGGGGGAGCCACGGTACGTCGGCGGCCCGGCCTCGCCCGGAGCATCCTTCCCCGGGGCCCCGCCCGCTAGCCCGTCGCCCGCGTCCGCCGCTCGCGCCTGGCCTGACTTCTTTGTGTTTGGTTCTCTGCCCGCGCCCCGTCTCTGCAGGACCTGTTCGTCCTTCTTCGGGCTACAGGAAGGCAGAGGATGAGATGTCCCGGGCCACGTCTGTTGGAGACCAGCTGGAGGCGCCGGCCCGCACCATTTACCTCAACCAACCGCATCTCAACAAATTCCGTGACAACCAGATCAGGTAGGGGAAGGCGGCGGGCAGACGCGGGGCAGGTGGCCGCGCCAGGTGGACGGGCCCTCCCCGCCGCGCGGCCCCCGCGCCTGTCTGCAGCCCCCTCCCCGCCCCCGCCCCCTGGCGCCCCGCGGTCCCTCTGCCTGCGCTTCGGTGGGGTCGGTGGGTGCAGCCTCTATCTGGTCTCCGTGGGATCCCTTCTGGGCTCGGGCTCGCCGTGAGCCCCGAGGAAGTTTTTATTCTCGCGCTCCTGACAAAAATGAGGTCTCTTATCTTTTCATCCCTGGGCTCCCTTCCAAGAATTTCTCCTAGACCTGTTTTAAGCCAGATGATAGCTCTCCTTATCAATTCGCAGACCATAATAAGGGGGAATGCTTTATTTTTATTTATTTATTTATTTATTTATTTATTTATTTATTTATTTATTTATTTATTTTGGTGGTGGTGGTGGTGGGGAATGCTTTATAAAGGAATCCCATAGGTCACGAGGACTCGCATTCAGCCCTAAATGGACCCCAACATCGGTTATGAGGTCTCTGTTTGCTGGGAAACTTTGCCCAGAGTTACCTTCCATCCATCTTTCTGTTAACATGCAAGTGTCTGCTTTTTGCTGGCTACTGTGTCCAATGCTTTAGTTTTACTAGATCAAGGAATCCTCGTAACCTCTCGAAGGCATTACCTTCAGATCAGGAAACTGAGGTAGAAAGATGTTCAGTAATGTACTGGTCATGTGGTCATGTGGCTACTAACTAGCAAGCTGTGAGTGGCAACCACCTTTTCTGACTACTATAGCTAAAATTCTTTCTGCTGTGCAAAGCTAGATCTTTAGGCATGGGTGTTAGTACTTTTTCAAATTTCATTAAACTTTCTGACTTAGACAACTTTATGTGAGTGACTTCAGAGGATATACTTCTGTGAGTGGCTCAGAGCATCATGCTCAGGTGTAGAGAAGTTAAATGATCAGGTTACACATAGATTATTGACAAGCTTGAATTTCAATCCAGTGTTTCTTGAAAGCCCTGATTAAAACTTCATTGCATGTTTAAGTATTCCACTACAGCATTAGCGCTTACATAGGCTGCTTAGGCTGACATCTTTATTGAAAAAGGATTGGCTACTGGGCATGACTGTAGCTTGATAGAATTTATGGTAGAATAATGATGCATTTTATATGGAGATGATACCTTCATTTATTAAGGGAGTATTAGATTATCCTGGCTTTATTTTGGGTTTTAGGAACGACCATTAGGGCACATTCTTCACCTAAAAGTGTAGCCTAGAAGAGTAGCTGAGGTCCCATTCAAGAATGTGTGGGCTTGGTTTAAAATACAGAACAGCAACCACAATGAGTTACTACTTCACACACTCACATGGCTCTAATAAAAAAAGATAACAGGCATTGGGTGTTGGTGAAGATATGGAGAAATTGGAGCCCTCCATATCTTGATAATGGGAATGGATAATGGTGCAGCTGCTTTGGAACACAGTTTGGCAGTTTCTCAAAAGGTTAAATGTAAAATTACCATGTGACCCACCAATCCTCCTACGCATGTCTACCCAAGATCAAGGAGAACCTATGTGCATACAAAAACATGTACACAAATGATCAGAGCAACATTATTCACAATAGTCCTGAAGTGGAACAACCCAAATATCTATCAACTGATGAATGAATAAATAAAATGTGGCTTATCCATGCAATGAAATACTATTGGCCATAAAAAGGAATGAAATACAGATACATGCTACAATAGAGGTGAGACTTAAACATTTATAAAATGAAAGAAACCAGTCATAGAAGGCCTCACTCATTCCACCTACAGGAAATGTCTAGAGGCAAATCCATTGAGACATATATTAGTGACTTTTAGGGCTAGGAAAGCGGGAAGAGGTTGAGAAATGGGAGTGACTGCTAATGTACATGGGGTTTCATTCTGGGCTGGTGATTGCACAACTCTGTGAATACACTTAAAACCATTTGGAATCCTGCATTGCCAATACAGTTCCATTTCTTCATACCTTATATATGTTTCAATTACTTTTAAAAAGATGGAAAGGTTCCTTTAAAAAGGATTTTATCTTGTCTCTTTTTTGCTCGATTTTGGGATTCAAGAGATTTATATGTAGTACTGCTTTTTTCACTGTCTTATATGCTTTATAAACAGTAAATGTATTAGGCCAATTTATATATGTATACATATATGTATTTATGTACACACTACATAAGAAGGATATAGAATTGAAGATTTTTTAAAAATCTTAGGATATTTTCTTTTTTTTTTTTTAATTTTTATTTATTTATGATAGTCACAGAGAGAGAGAGAGAGAGAGGCAGAGACACAAGCAGAGGGAGAAGCAGGCTCCATGCACCGGGAGCCCAACGTGGGATTCGATCCCGGGTCTCCAGGATCGTGCCCTGGGCCAAAGGCAGGCGCCAAACCGCTGCGCCACCCAGGGATCCCTCTTAGGATATTTTCAAGTAGTATTTTATCTTAGTTCTTCTTAATGTCTTTGACTTTGGTATTCATTTAAGCATGCTTAAAGTTGGGAAAATAAGGGTCTTTGTTTTGTTTGAATTATATGGAAGATAAAGATGTGGCTGCCCTACATTAGTGCAAAGCTGACTTTTGAGGCTGATTTTATTATCTGACTTTTTCAACTGGCTACCTGTTGTATAGCTTCAGTTGTACTTTTTTGGAGTCGGGGGAGGAATAAGTATGGAAATAGACATACAGTGGGGTTGGCCACGAATAAAATAGGTAGACACCAACTATTCTATTTAAAGTTTTGTATAGGAATATAATTCCATTAGTTAAAATATATCATTAAATATTAAAATTCATATAGTTTCTAAGTTCATGGCTTATACTGTGAACATGACATACTCAGACCCACTGAATAGGGTCTACAAAATTAAAATGTGGCCCTTGCTATTTTGTAAAATGGCTTTTGAGTATTCACTTCACCTCAACTCTATATTTAGGGGAATTACTAATGGTAATGTGAATTCTAGTTCATTAAGGAACTGATTATAAAACTTCTTGACATTAAAGCATAAGGATTTTGCAAAATGTTGAGCCACATTATTTTTGTACTTTAATATTGCTGAGGTCAAGTCTTATAAAAATATTGTCTTTTTTAAAAAAAAAATATTTATTTATTTGACAGAAAGAGTAAGAGAGCACAAGCAGAGGGAGCAGCAGAAGCAGAGGGAGAAGTGGACTCTCTGCTGAGCAGGGAGCCCAATGTGGGGACTCAATCCCAGGATCCTGAGATCATGACCGAAGCCTAAGGCAGATACTTAACCGGCTGAGCCACCCAGACACCCCAAAACATTAATTCTTTTAATGACACTTTTAGGGATCCCTGGGTGGCTCTGGGGTTTAGCACCTGCCTTCTGCCCCGGGGCGTGATCCTGGAGGCCTGGTCTGAGTCGGGCTCCCTGCAGGGAGCCTGCTTCTCCCTCTGCCTGTGTCTCTGCCTCTCTCTGTGTCTCTCATGAATGAATGAATAAGATCTTAAAAACAAACAAACAAACAAACAAAAAAACACTTTTAGTCTTGGCCATGAAAATTTGCTAAAAGTTGATAAAGGACTATTTTCATAAAAGGAAGTTGATAAATTTTTTTTTCTTAATTTTTCTTGAGAAAGGGTTAAGGTTTTGTTTTTTTGTTTTTTGTTTTTGAGGCAGGGACATGGAGTATTTATCCTGGATTTTTTGCTTCTAAATCAGTTTTTGAAAAGAAGGGAACCGGGGGGACATATTAGACTCATTCTAGTCGAGGAGTCAAGGGTGCTGACTTTGTGGCTGCTCTACACCTCAGGAGGCTGGTGTTCTTACTTCCACACTCCAGGCCCTTTATGGCTCAGAGCCTTGGATCATGGCAGTTGCTCTGTGACTGCATTTACGGGCACCTGGCACTTTGACTTCAGAAAAGAGATCAGAGTTTGCTAAGGAGGGATGTGGTTGTCCAGCATTGGGGAAGGTTGGTGAGGGGCTGAATGGTACAATTTAGGACAGGCAGTGAAAATCTAGGGCTATTGTTTCAACTAATGTATCCAATAAAGAGGCTGGGTCTGATGAGGAGGAGTAAGGTCACTGCTGGAGTTGACTGTGGCCTTGGCACCCCTGGGGGAATATCAGACACGGTAACTCCAAATCCCAAGCAATTCCTTGAAATTCCAGGAGGATCTGCCCTGTGTCAGTAGATGTCTCTTTAAACCCTGTTCTTGACACTGAAAATAATAACACTAGTGATTGATTTGAAGCTGTGGTAGGTGTAAGGTGTAAGTCAATTTTAGAATTATTGAAGCCAGTGAATTTTGATTATTGTAATCATGAGAAAATAGGTCTTTTTCTCCTAAGCATTGATTTTTCTAGGGCCTTAATTATGAGTAGTAATTAATGGAATTTTATAATGTACATACAAACATGTGTAGGATTCTGTATATGTCCACCTAACAAGATCCCTTTTTTTCTGGTGTACAATCTCCTTGTAAATATTTATAATAGCTCTATTGAGATATGGTTTACATACCATGTAATTAATTTACTAAAGTATACGGTTCATTGCTTTTTAGTGTTTTTCAGAGTTATACAACCATCACTACAGTCAATTTTAGAACATTCTCATCACTTCCAGAAGAAATCCCATACCCTTTAGCTGCCCTCTTCCTACCTCTTCTTCCAGCCCTGAGCAACCACTCATTTCCTTTCTATCTCTGTAGATTTCTCTATTCTGGACATTTCATATGAATGCTATTATTTCCTCTTAAGTGTTTTAACTTAAATATTAAATGCTTATGGAAAGCTTATTATTTAGAGCAACCCGGTGGTGAATCTTTAATTTCGTATATCTAAATTTTAAATAATGATTAAGATCTAAAAAAAAAATTTTCTGGAAAATACCTTGAAACTTACTGATCAAGAAACAAGGATTGAAAATTGTTTCAATCAAGATCAGGTGTATGCAGTCCTTTTATGTGACTATCAGCATGTCATTTGAAAT